TTAAAAAAAAAAAAAAAAAAAAAAAAAAATTAAAAATTTTTTTTTTTTTTTGCTATATCTGAACTCATGGATTGCGTCACCATTAATTCCGGGTAAACTTACAGTCGTGACCAGATACTGTGAGAATTTAATAATTTGTACCAAAGAACTTCATTTAATCAGTACCATAACATAATATATATATAACGTTATTTTATCATCTTTAGGAACGCTGATTTATCCCGATTATTACACAGTTTCTTGTTTTAAAGAATTGCGATAATATCGTGTCGTGAACACACACAAAAAAATAATCGTGGACTGTATCGTATCGCGATTCGAGCGAATCGTTACATCCATACTGAGTAAAAACACAACCTGAAAAAGTTTCGTTGCGACCTCAGAGGTCAAATCCTGGAACGTCCGTGTCTGTGTTTCATGTCGACTTCGTCCAACAGGATGGAGGAGTGGAACCGTCGGCCGAGGTAAAATGGAAAAAGCGATAAAAACCAGAGCGTCAAAGATCAAAGTGTCTGATATTTCAGTTGTACTTTTTACGTCTTAGTCTCTGTCCAATAAAACGACGTGAAACATTAACGTGGTGAGTTGTTGGTCGTCAACGACTTCAAACTTTTTTTTCTTTTTTTTTTTTTTCTGGCAGACGTCGTGTTGTTGATCAACTGAGGCTGAAGTCACGACTGTATTTACTGTAGTTGAACACAAAAAAAAGACAAAAAACAAAAAACTGTAAATCTACCATTTTTTAAAAAATATTTCATATTTTCTTGTCACGTCAAACTCATTTTCACCAGGAGGGGGCAGCACATCAGCAATACAGTTCCCCTTATTTAGTTCTAAATAGTAACTACTCTGTAACATATTAATAAATACATTTGTACAAACGTTAATTAATCAGTTTGGTCTAAGCTCCTACGGCCGAACAAAATGACCTGGCGGCCACTTTTGGCCCCCGGGGCCTTAGGTTTGACACATGTTGTTTCAGTAATTCACATGTCTTCTGTTCTATTCCCGGACCAGTGCTGGACCTGGTGCTGGACCTGGTGCTGGACCTGGTGCTGGACCTGGTGCTGGACCTGGTGCTGTGGCGAAGCAGAAATCCTGGTCCCAGATCTGGACGGTGTCACGTTTGGATCCTGGTTTTATTGATCGACTGCTGCTGTCTCTCTCTCTCTCGCTCTCTCTCTCTCTCTCTGTCTCTGTCTCTCTCTCTGTCTCTCTCTCTCTCTCTCTCTCTCTCTGTGTCTCTCTCTCTCTCTCTCTCCTCAGACACACCTCCATGATCTCACTGCAGGTCGTCAAGTCCAACTCTGTGTGTGTGTGTGTGTGTGTGTGTGTGTGTGTGTTTCTGCTAAAGCAATTCCAATTTTTAAAAAACTAAGAAACTAAGAAAAGCACATGGAACCGATGTCATTTTGGAACTCTTCGGTGCAGCTGAGTGGAACAGAACTATCAACCAGTTTGCTCTAATTGGTTACATAATCTTGTTCTATATGTGTATAAATATATATATATATATTTCCAGGCGTGAATTGTTTCGTGTCACTCATTTCGACTGTATTCATGTTTCCTTCAGCTCCGTCCAGGAAATTCAGAAATTTAGTCCAGATTCAGCGATTTCAAGGAAAATTCCTCCGGTTTTTCCACATCAGCCTGAGGCCGACACATCGGTACCAACATCAACAACCACCTGTGAGTCAGTACTTCTCTATTCCCAGAACCTCCACCAGAGGAAGTCAAAAAGTTTGACTTGTGAAATCAAAGAAAAACGTATTTATTAAAACTCCAAAAACAAAACTTTTTTGCTAAATGCTAATTTAGACAAGACTGTTGAAAATGTCATCGCTAACCAAAAGTTAGCATAGTATGAGTGCTATGCTAACTCTTGTTTAGTGATAACAATTAGCGTAGATTTCCTTACAAAGTGGTGGAATTGTCATCGCTAACCAAGAGTTAGCATAGACATGAGTCAATCATCACACAGGAAATAGCCAAAAAAAAAAAGTGTCCTCTAAGAAGACAGCTAAAAGTACGCCCTCTTATGGCTAAAGGTAGTATTAAAATTAGTTATAATATTTTTGCAAACTGCATGGGTCAAAACTATGCTAATCATATCTACAAACAGCAGGGGGCCCCGATATGCCTGAGAGTTCTACCCACTAACATACTGTAGAAAGTACTCTTTTTATTGACCAATGATAGCTCTCCTCTGAGGTACCGTTAACATCGCTGACGGTTTCAGAGACCTGCGTCACACGTGTTCATCCAGATGTTTTTAATTCCTCTTAACGAGTGGTTTTAAAATGGGTGGAGCAAACGCTGACGACTGCATCATGTCACTGAAGTTTATGTAGAAAGTAAAACTTTCTTCCTGTTCAACCTATTATCGAGTGAGTATTACGTTACTGTCGGCACCACGGCTGGGAAATATGATTGATTTTTGGCTCCGCCGCCGCCAAACACTTGTGGGCGACATTTAACCCAGGAGAGTCGTTCAAATTATTTAGCTCGACTTTGCCAGTTTTTTTAAAAAAAAAAATGTTCTACTGTATTTGCACACTTTAAGCACAGCACATGCTAAATGCTAGGATTTTTTTCAAGCTAACTAACTGTGTTTTACAGACAACAAGAGCTAAAAATCGAAGTTAGCTTGTAAGTGGTCACATGTTAGCCAAACGCCGTAAGAACAAAACCAGCTGTAAATCACTTAAAAAGCTACAGTTAGCGAAAAGCTAACTTACTATAGCTTAGCTATTTTGCTTTATGATTATTTTATGACATCGTATCTGGGCTAACTAAATGCTATGTTTTGCTAAGTCTTGAAGCTAACTTACTATATCTTAGCTATTTTGCTTTATGATTATTTTACAGCACATGCTAAATGCTAGGATTTTTTTCAAGCTAACTAACTGTGTTTTACAGACAACAAGAGCTAAAAATCGAAGTTAGCTTGTAAGTGGTCACATGTTAGCCAAACGCCGTAAGAACAAAACCAGCTGTAAATCACTTAAAAAGCTACAGTTAGCGAAAAGCTAACTTACTATAGCTTAGCTATTTTGCTTTATGATTATTTTATTTTTGTGTACGAAACATCCACGGGCTAACACTGAACGGTCTGTCTTTTCGCTAGTTTTTGTTACTTTTTAGTAACTCGGTTAATTGAAGTTTCCATCCTTTATTTTTAGGTTATTCTTTGGAAACATTTTGTGATTCTTTTTTTTTAGCTTTTTTTTTTACTTTTTGTAGCGTTACGTGGTCTAGCATGTAGTTATCGTTGACCAATCAATGTTTCCATTATCTTGACAAATTTAATCTTTTTTTAAATTATTTAAAGGAAACCTTTTGAAGATTACTTATTTATTTATTTTTGTTAACGTCTGACCAACTTTAGCTCAGTTTTTTCAAAGTATATTTATATATACATATATAAAGACAAAGGATGTTTGGAAGTGAATTTTCCTGGATTCTTTGCTAATTCAGAATTCAAATCGTCAACAACAACAACAACAACAACAACGCTCAACATGGAAACAAATGTCGTAAACTTTATTTCATTACATCCACAGAACAACCAATCAAATGTTCTGATAATTCCTCGTCTTCCGACTCGTGACACCATCAACTGTATCGTTACTTCTTTTAAATTGTGCGATGAATGTGAAGCAAGGATAACAAAAAAAGTGTATTGCTTAAAAAAAAAACAAAAAAAACAACATGGAATTTTCCGGCATTCATACGAAGGAGACTTTAGATAAATAAGTCAAATTGACGTGAAAGGCTTTTGATAAAAGGGCGTTTGACCGTTTTATAATCCTTTTTTTTTTCTCTCACACTCGCTAACTTACATAGCATCTGAGAGCCGTGCCAAAGCTGTGTTAGCTACGTTAAAGATTCATTTTCTAGAAGTAGAAAAAAAGTCGTAGTTTTTTTGTGCATAACGTGTGAGGAATGTGTTCGCTGTGGAAAACACACCTGAAGGTCCAGTCTGTAACATCAGGGACGCTAAGACGACGCCACCGTCCACCGTTAGCTCCGGGCGAACAACTAGTGGACAAACAGTGTAATGGCGACTGGTACTACACTGCAGCATTTCTTCTGTTATTACTCAGTTACGGGGTTAAAAAAAACTCCCAGTACTTGAAGGAAGCGGTTCATGTTGCAGGGCACTTGGAATGTCATTTTGGGCACAGTTAAAGCTACAGCGAAGCATCCGTTCATCGTCTCACGTCTGGGGCAGTGGAGTTGAACGCTGAACATTCCAGCGGTCCATCACTGGGCCACAGATCAGGACAAACAACCATTCACACCACCATTCACACCAATGGTCCATTTGTAATCAACAATTATCCTGAGAAAATCAACACGAACTACAGAAAAAAACATGGGTTTCCACTGGGAATTGAACTGGTGAGATTTTTGCTGTAAGGCAGAAACATTAACCACTCTTCTACCGTGTGGCCTACAGGCACTTCATAGTTGGATAATTAGGTCCAGTTTGGACCAAATGTTCTGGGTTTGTTCTGCAGACAGGACACTGAGTCAACAACGTCGTTTTTTCGAAATCTGCACGAATGTTACGAACAAGTTACGAAAAAAAAAAACAAGTAAGAATCTGTCGGACGCTGCAGACAAACAAGGAAAGTTTACATCCACTCGGTAGATTCCTGGAAGGTTTGGAAAGGTTTGAGGTTCATTGGCCGTTTGGGTCGTCACCTGGTGGTCACCTGGTGGTCACCTGGTCATCACCTGGTGGTCACCTGGTCGTCACCTGGTGGTCACCTGGTGGTCACCTGGTCATCACCTGGTGGTCACCTGGTCGTCACCTGGTGGTCACCTGGTGGTCACCTGGTCGTCACCTGGTGGTCACCTGGTGGTCACCTGGTGGTCACCTGGTCATCACCTGGTGGTCACCTGGTCGTCACCTGGTCTTACACACTGGACCTTCTGTTGTTTTCATGCATATTTGTAACAATCGGCTTCATTATACAATCAGTCAGTAAAAAAAAAAAAAAAACTCAGCCTCAGTTCACGTCCTGACTGGGCCGCGGCGGAGGCCGTGACGGAGGGGGCGCTCTGCTGGGAGCAGGCCCCGGAGGTGGGGGGGGCAGAGAGCCAGTTGGAGAAGGTGGGACGGAGATGGAGCGCAGGTTGTTGTCGAGGGACGCGGCTCTGTCCGGAGGTGGCGTGTACGTCAACGGGCCGCTGGAGGACGGAGGCGGCGTGGAGGGCAGCGGGGGCAGTATGGACGTCGGCGATGGGGGTACGTTGGAGAAGTGGCTGCCGTCTGGTGGGTCGTGTTGGTAGGCGTGAGGCAGGGAGTAGACGGGCGTAGACGGGTGGTGGTAGATGGGGTAGCGCGGACCCTGGTAGGATTTACTGCGGGTGAAGTTGACGCAGCGACCCTGTGATCAAAGTCAAAGACGGGTTTAACTTTAAAGGCCTGAAGTAAAGACGTACGCAGATGAGACCCTGCTCTGCGTCGGATAAATCCCCCTGCTGGCACGGGGGATCATTAGCTTCAGCGGGATAAACACGTTCAACAGACAAGAGGGCGGAAATTCCAGTGTTAGTGTTAGTGAGAAGAAGGAAACGGCGTTCCTGCCAGCCCCGCCGAGCTGACGACGTCGCACTCTTAACGACTTCTCCAGAGCAGAGCGTTCTTCCAGACGACAGAGCAGCGCCTTTGTTTTATTATTTATTTCTTTTACCTTCCCTGCTCTCCGTGGCTTCAAAGTCAGCGCACTAATAATAAGAAACAAATTGACATTTCTGGAGTTTCACAGATAAGATTCACGGCCGTTTCTGTCCCGATCTTTGATGCTGAGAAATTTCTGGCTCAAAAAGGTATTTTATGGAAGTTTTAACGTCTGGTAAAAATTTCTGGCTCAAAAACGTCTTTTATGGAAGTTTTAACGTCTGGTAAATTGATTATTGTCTTCCTGCCAAAAGTTCCGATAAAACTGAACGTCTATATGTCTATGTCTCTCTGCTGTAAAGAGTTTCTGGTTCATCGTAGAATTATCAACAGAGGAAAGAGGAAACAGCGCCCCCTGTAGCAGTATAATTCAGTAGCAAAAAAAGCTAAAAAGTTGATCATCTAAAATATGACAGTATAATTTAGTAGCAAAAAAAAAAGTATTCCAGCTAAAAAGTTGATCATCTAAAATATGGCGCAGAAATCGCACAAAAGTCGGATAAAAATATGTTTTAATATTACTGCTAATTGAAATAGCTGAATGTTAGCACGTTGACAAGGAACTGCAGCAAAATGTAAAAAAGATAATATTACCTATAAGTGCCCTTTACTAGTACTACTACTTCTACTAGTACTGGTTAAAAGCCCAATAATGTTTGAGAAAAAAAAAGTAACAGAAATAAGTTTAAAATGGCAGAGAATTAGTTTCATCATTAACACCAAAAAATGTGTAGAATAAAAATCAGAAAAAGAAACTTTCTTTAGAAATCCATCCTAGTCAAGATGTCAACTGTGGTTAGCTGACGAAAGCTAAGCGCTAGGTCAAAGCTAACTAACTAACTACTTGTGAAACACATACATACGAATGCTCTTGTGTTACTGTAGAAAAACAGTCTAGATCCAGTGAAGATAGAACAGAAAACCAACAGGCAGCTAGCCAAAAAAATACCTCATTTTATTAGCCAAATGACTTAGCGCAAAGGCTAACAATACGTCGTACCTTGTCTCCTGGGAGAGGACGCATCACCGACACTCTGTCGTAGCCTTTTCTCAGAAGAACACACAGAGCGTCCAGTTTCCCCTGGAAGATCGAGACAGATACAAACAATTAAAAAAAAAAACAATAATCAATAATCAGTGTTCCAGTGATTGACATGAAGGGTTAATCAATACATCTGTTTGTTAGTTTGATCGATGTCAAAGTGTTTTCTCCTCTGATTTTTTTTTTTTTTTTTTTAATGTCTGACTCTGTTTTGTGTAAAGAGAAGATAAAAATATTGGGGAACGTCCAGATAAAGAACTGATGTTGTCAGGAGTAACACCCACTCAACAGATTCCACCACCAGGGCGGAGCTCAGTTCTGGTCTGGTTCTTATTACTGTCTGTTCAGCTGACTAATCAGACTGATAGTCCACGTGTTAACTGTTTCCTGGTAACAAATAACCAACCTATCATCGGGAGCTAGCTTGTGGATTTTCCTTCTCACGTCCCTTCACTTCGTCCTGTTTTTAGGATATTTTTTGTTTGTGATTGTTGGAACGTCTGGTCACCGAACGTTGTTATTAGCTCGCTAGGTTAACAAGGTCACAGAGTTAGTAGTTGGTTAGTAGTTAGTTAGTAGAGTGCTGAGGTTTTGGGGTCATTGTTCAGTATGTTTCCATTTGTGAGACCAACAAACAGACTTTTTTTCAGAGTCAAATCACAGCTAGTGTTGAAACTTTGCTAGCTGTTAGCCTCTTACTAGTGTTGAAACTTAGGCTAACTGCTAGCTGTTAGCCTCTTCTATTATCTCCTTCCTTTAGCCTCCTCCTTTAGCCTCCTCCTTTAGCTGTATCAGGGACATTTCGGGGTGTAGTTGTTACCTTGTTGAGCAGTAATCTGTTTTAATTGACTTTTCTAAAATGAGCTAAAACCACACGAACCCCAGCGCTAATGTTTGTTGATATTTTCCATTCAGCAATTTTTGCTAAAATGAGCTAAAACCGCACGAACCCCAGCGCTAATGTTTGTTGATATTTTCCATTCAGCAATTTGTGGAAAAACTTTAGTTTGATTTTTTTTTTTTTTTTTTTTAAGGGTTGT